TAGTTAATTACACAATTAACCAAACCTCCTTTTGTGCTAATCACATAGCACTTTTACAAAGCTAAATTTAATTAGCCACATATGAAAGGTTTAAGCTAAGTAGATTAACATTAAGACCAATCATAATCTAACACCTTTATTGCTATTACCAAAGCACCAAATGCTTAAGTTTTCAACACCTAAAGGTGCAGCCACCAAGTGGCCCAAAGGGCCTAATTAGGCACTCTACCTAGTGCTTAATAGCACTGTTACAGTGTTTTAATTTGCACTTCAAAGTGCCAAATTAAATTGCACTATCCATTAGTGCTACAAAAATACTATTCATCAAAACACACTTTGTCTCAAATTAAATATACTAGTATAATTTAGAATTTTTGATCAAGTTAATTATAACACAATTAACAAAACCCAATCAACCAAATTTCCAAAACTAGTTGAACCAAACTCATATAATCGTTCTTAGAATATTATATAAAATATTCAACACTTGAGCTATGACGCTCACGATTATATAGTTATCCCAATTTTTGACAAATTGATCCTTGAAATCCGTATCGTTCTACATGAACCTGAACCGAAGTTCGTTACGGGATTTCAACTTGTAACACTGTTGTTACATTTTATTCCGGCCTTTAAGCCATTTTAGAATTTTCCACATAATACTCCGTGATGCTCTACGCACCCATATTGAATCTTTTATATGTTAAAATTATCACACAAGAATATTTTAAAATATACAAAGTTCAATACCCACAAATGGAACAATTCATTTTATTCAACAATAAAATGTATCACAAGGATACTACAACATTCATTCAAAATAAATAAATAGGAAAATTACATTGGAAACACATTTCCTTATTCCTATCTCGTAGTAGTCCTTCAACCCGTGTGCCTCGTTCCATTTCCAACCGTCCACTCCACGAAGGGTGGTCCATAGCGCACATCGGGGGTACCTCGGTTGTGACCTCACTCGTCCAACCATCCACATGTTTTGGACATAGCGAAATTTTCCTCAACCTTCTCACCAGGATGACGGTTCGCTTCATAGTGGCATTTCTCCTTCTTCTCATAATCTTCTTGAAAGCTAAGCTTCCGCTTGAGTTTCCTTCGATTACGGTTGAAGACATTGGTAACACTACCATAGTCCTCAGACCATGTAGTCATTACACCATCATAGGATCCTTCGTGGCTTTTAGCCGATCCGTTAGGCAGCACAATAGGTACCAATTGTGTGCCATCGGTAGACCGTGAACCAAAGTTCTCCGGAGCACCATCGTGTGCTTTTGCAACTCCCATGGAAATATTATTTCCAACGTTGCTGCCATCAACTGGCATCACGGAATGTGCAACATCGTTGCCGTTCCGACCATTAGAATGTGCACCATGAGCAACATTCATGGATCCAACACTTTTGAAATCCATCGATTTGTTCATTCTCAAAAAAAAAATTGATAAGGTTTTAAGATTGTTGGTGATAATGAACCACAATCGATTTAATATTCTAAAAATAATATTTATATATACACACACAAGTATATAAAATATTATTGGATATTTATTTGAAATATATATACACACAAATATATATAAAACGGATCCAAAGGTTATATATACATGTATATCTACGAAAAAGATATACCAATATATATCAACCAAATTTGAAACTAATAATCCTCAGATTATAAGTCCAATCCAACTAATATATCAAAAGAGGGAGAACGGATTTTTGCTTAAAAGCATAATCCAAACAAGAAAGAAGGAGAAGGAAGAAAGAAGTGTACGAGTTAGGCGAGTGCCTTTCTTTCCTTAAAACTTTATTTGCCACCTCCCAAAAGTGCTAGGAGCATTGTGGCCTAGGTTTCCCAGGATAAAACGTACAACGGTTCGGCGTTTGAGCACCCAAACGAACGAACCCAGAGAACAAGAGCACGGGCAAAACACAGCTTCAAGAATGGAGTAGAAGCAGAAGTATTTTGAGGCTGGAAAAAATGATTTTTCTTGTGTGTTAAAAATGCTACTGCTCAACTCCTTCTTATATAGGGAATGAGGAGTGAATAGCCTTTATTATGGCATTTAGGGGCATCCCTACAACTCCTGTAATAGCAACCATTAACCTGGGTGTTAATTCAAAAATTAAAATTGGAATTAATTCAAAGAATTAATCCTATAACAGCTGAATTAAATCCCAGCAGTCAGAAACAGGAGCTTCAGGCCGAACTTGTTTGTTTCCAAAAATGGCATAACTTATGCCCGCAGGTGCACACGAGATTAGGCTTGATCCAAGCTTTTAGAATCTCATTCTGGGATTTGATTTACACCCACCCTGCGCGTGAGAGAGAGTCTCTAAGCTATACAATTCAATATGTTTAAAGAGAGCTCTTGTATAAATAGTGGGCCAAATCCTCTTTCCAAACTAATGTGGGACAAAAGCTCACTTTTTTCCTTCATTTTCCAACTCAAATAGGTCTACTTTGAGAATCAATATCTCATTCACCCATTATCCGTTTTGAGCGTACAATATATCAATCTCTTCGTCTCACTACGAAGAACCCGAATCCACTTTGACCCGACCCAAATCGGAAGTGGACCCTACTGATAATTGTACCACAAAATAGCCACTTAATATATCATTTTAACCTATTTTTTCCAACACAATTTACATATTAAACTAGTATTTGTCCCGTGCGATGCACGTCATAAAATTTAAGTAATTTTATTGTCGATAATGTTTTTTAAAAACGATAAAATCAAACATGAATCATGAAAATTCATTCTAAAACGTATTTTTCTTTTGTAATATTAAATTGATTGTTATATTGAACAAAACAACATACTATCATCATATATTATAAAGCATTGTGTAATTAGATACCACAAAAAATATTTTTCATTTCAATTTATACTTTAGATTAACGATCTTGTATAATACATTTATGCGAATAATATATTTTTTCATTATTTAAAAAATCAACACATTACAAAAAGAGATTTTGATATTTCAAATGTGATCTCTCTATCACTATATTGCATTTTCAATTAAATTTTATAATATGTTATTTTCAGGATTACTTTTTCAAAGCCAGGGAATGAATATCTGAGGGTCTTAGCACAAATGCTCTTCTAGGTAAATTCATTGATTATTTTGAAGTGAATATAAAATACAAAAAAATGAAAACTAAGCATATGGTCGTTACATATATAGTAATTTATTTCTGACTTAGATTTATTCATTCATATAAGTAATTATAATAAAATGCATGCATATTTTCTTCATTTCTGTAAAATGCTCATGACAGGAAAAACACTGCTGTGGTTAAGGTCGTTATCATTTTTTAAGAAAATTTTAAACAAAATTTCCATTCCAAATTCCAACCAATGACTCATGTTTAACAGGAATATCAATATTTTCCTTGGGAGTATTTGCAGCAAGCAGTTGTCCACATTGAGGGTCCAAGTTTGCGCCGTAGCCGCTACCCAACGAAGCTTGCGGATTCCGATTCGCAAGTTTTCCTCGCCACTGTCAATTAAACACAACATTAATCTCATCCACGGCTTCTCGAATCCGGCAGATTTTCCTTCTAATATCCGGCATGTCGCCACCAAACACTCTAGCATTCCTCCCAGGCCCGGTCCTATCATTTTATAGGCCCGGGGCGTAGTAACAAAATGGGCCCTATAGTAAATTAATATATGTTTTTATAATTAAATTTTAAATCAAATAATAGAAAAATACCAATATTAAATAACTTGAAATAAGATTCTAAGTTTTTAACAATTATGCATACACATGAAAACATTTCTAGATGCATTCTTAAATTCAAAATAATCAATAACTGCATCAGTGCTTTCATAAATAAAGAATTATAGTTTATAAAAACGAATAAAACTTAATTATTGGGAGAAATAAATCGAAATACTCTAAACGTTTATAGAAAATCACATTATAATTATAATAAATAATGAAGTTATTTTTAATAAAAAATTGTAATACAAAACTCACAAATGAGAGCATAGCATAAAATCTTAATTATTGGGAGCAATAAATCAAAATACTTTAAACGTGATAAAAGATAGATATTCATAATAAAATATGAAACATAATTAATTGAATAAAATAGTTCAAATGAAAAACACATAATAAATCACATATCTTCTATATTGATATCATATTTATAAATACTTTTTCTTTTTGTTAGATTAATTTCAATATTCTATAGAATAATTTGAATATGATGACGCACAATAGGACAAATAGGACTTCTAAATTACATTGACTAGATAATTCATAGAAAAATTAAATTATCTTTTAAAATATTTTTCATAACTAAATCACAAAATATATTACATATACATAACTCATTATATATAATGTTCACAAAATAACACATATTTTAAATATAAGTAGTAAATTACTCGAATAGAAATATATTCAAAATTTGATATGAATCACAAATCAATCTATATTATAAATCTCACTATAATTATAGAAAGGTAAAAAAAAAAAAAAAATCACAAAGTTACAAATTAAATTAAAAAATACAAATTATAAATATAAATAAATTTCATTAGTTAAAATTTTAATAACTATATAATAATATCCCAAAATTAGGAAAATTTTGATGTAAAAGCATATAACAAGGATTCGATCCCCTGATCTGGCGCATAAAAAACCTTAGACTCCCAGAGTTTTCCAATTCAACTAATTTTCAGTTTAATGACATAAATTTATACTCTATTATTATATCAAATATCTATAGTATATATAAAAGGTGTTTAGATAGGATTGTGGGCCCCTTCCAAGCATGGGCCCTGGGCAAGGGCCCAGCCTGCCCTTGCCCAGGGCCGAGCCTGATTCCTTCAACGCCAAAGCCACCAGCATGCTATTGTGAAGGTTGTTGCCTAGTCCTCAGTAGTATATTTATTATTATTGCGCTGAGCAATGCTTGCCGCAATCCATCATTTGTGGAGGTGCCATCAGCTGTCATTCCCCTCCTTTTTCATTCTGCATTGCCCAGGATCCTCTCATGATTCATAGTCCAAAGAAGAAGCTTAAATTTGCTTGGCACCTTCAGCATCCAAATATCCGTCCGAACCTTTTCCTGCATAGGTGTTAAGTTGCCAGTAATCAAGTTATAGACAGATTTAACTGAGAAGATACCTATGGGTTCATGCCTCCAATACACCGCGACCCGTCTGTCGACATTGGGGGGTCAATCATCTTAAGTTGAAACTTTGCGGTGACAGAAGTAGGTAAAGCGTTGAGAGCCTCTTCCTTCCAGCCGTTTTCAACCTCCCACATATTGTATATATGTAACGTATAAAGTTCATTAAATGATCAAGTCAATTTGATTTTCACATTTAATGACTCTTCAAAAATCACAGCGTAATTAGCACCATTTAGCTATTGGAAGACTAAAAGTCCCAACAATCAATTAATATCAATCACCTAAATTTGCATAGCATAAATACATATCAATACCATTTATTTGGCGGGTAGATTTCTGCGGCTAGTAGCATTGGATAATGAAAAAATTACCAAAGCAAATAATGTTAGCATTTATCCTGGACAAATAAATCCACCTAGGATGGCCAACTCAAACGAAAGCTATAAAATATAAATGCAGTAAAACGACATGTTGCAATTGGGCGGGAAATTGACATGGCAAAAAGATTTTGCTATTATATAGAGTAAGATAAGATAAGATAAGATAAGATGTGCACAATTTAATTTGTGAACATTAAATATATAAATTGTGTATTTTGACCCGGATCTATCTGGCAAGGTGGATCGATTCATTTTTTTTTTTTGAAAGCTAAGTAACTTGGTATATTAATGAACGAACATAGTAATAGAGTCTGGAGGGATTACATCCCAGTACATAGGATGGTCCTGATCGAAAGCTAACGAAGCTAGTGTATGAGCATGCATATTAACAGCTCTGGAAATATAATGTAAAGAACAAGAAGTAAATAATGACATAGTTGTCCTGCACCGGTCCACAATGACCCCAACATAAGATCGAGTTCCGGTACCTCTTGATGTTATCATGTTTCGCAACTCCATACAATCTGTGAGTAGATCAACCATCTGTGTATCGCGCCCTTTAAGCCATGATAGAGCTTCCTTGCAGGCTAGAGCTTCTGCCATAATAGGTGAAAAAGCACCAGGTAACGTTCCTGCCGTGGCTGCCATAAAAACACCTTCGTGATTGAGTAGCACAACTCCGTATGTCGCTTCTCCCGTGTGTTGTCTGTAGCCCGCGTCGAAGTAACACCTGGGCCGCTCGTGTGGGTCGCTCTCCGGCAACACGGTGGCATGAGGCTGGTAACTTGCACGTCCCAGCCTGGTGAAGGCTTCCTCGGCCATCACCGCCCTCCTCACCGTGGATGTGGGCCGTGGCAAGCTTCTTTCCCATAACGCCGAATTCCTTGCTAGCCACAAATAATATAGAATCCCAACAGCCAGCCGTACCTGCCCTTCCGTCAACGAGTCCAGCACGCCTACGAACCATGATTGGAAATGATTAGTCAGAATATTCGTGACAGGTAATCCCGAAATATTCCAAACCATTTTAGAGTAATCACATAAAATCAGTGCATGCATAATATTCTCTTGTGTAGTGCCACACATGGGGCATATAGGATCCACCTCCACTCGTTTAATAATTAAATTATCAGTGGTGGGTAGTATGCCAGACACAGCCCTCCATAGAAAGATTTTCCATTTGGGTGGCACTCGTAATTTCCACAATGTAACCCATTTATCAAAAGTCCCTGGGTTGTCAGAATAATCTCCCATAATTTGCCTATAGGCATTCTTAACCGTGTATATTCCTTGTGTGTCCCCCCATCCAATACCATGTGTCATCATAATCTGGGCTTATCGGTATTCTTGAGATTCGGGTCACATCCTCAGGAATAAATAAATCATTGAGAATATGTGGATCCCAGGTACCTGTATCGATCTATCAGGCCACTCACTAATGTCCCTTGTAACTCCTCAGGCATGTGTGTTTGAACCAAAGGGCTAGGATCATCAGACAACCAAGGATGTCCCAATATCAATGTATCCCTACCGTTTCCAATCCTTCTGCACACCCCGGCGCAGACTAGATCATGGGTGGCCATAATACTACGCCAGCAGTGACTTGGGTTATTCCCTATGGTAGCATCAACAAAAGTGGTCGTAGGATAGTATCGAGCCTTATAAATCCTTGCTACCAAAGTGGTGGGTTCCGTAAGAAATCTCCATGCCTGTTTCCCTAGCATGGCCAGATTAAATGCACAAAGGTCCTTAAAACCTAATCCTCCATATTTTTTAGGGATACATAATTTATCCCAAGCTTTCCAATGTATTCCACGATCTGTACCTGTCCCCCACCAATATTTGTTTATAATACGCTGTATAGACAAACACACAGATTCAGGCAACAAAAAAACACTCATAGAAAAAGTAGGCATAAACTGAGCCACACTTTTTAAGAGAACCTCCTTCCCAGCCTGTGAGAGCAATTCATATTTAACTATTGCATGCATATTTAATTTAGCCATTTGATTTTATAATCCAATGTGCCTAGATTCAATAGCAAATAATATATGTGAAAACGTAGAACGATTGTATGATCCATTTCCACAACGGTATTAGTACTTAATTTACCTTATATCTGCAAACCTAATAAGAACCAATAAATTTAGATCTACAGAAATTAAAAAATATTGGTGTAATTGTTTGTTGAAATGAATGATTCATATTATTTTGATTTTAGTATTTTTTTTCGGCTTTACTCTCTATTATATAATTTACATTTCCTAAATACTTCTGCATTATATTCCGTCAGTGTAAACTTTAATAACGAAATATTTCGTTAACTATTTATTATTCTTAACTTACTCATTGATTTTTATAAAGAAAGTCTTAGGTTCGAACCCATCCCAATCAAAATTGACATAATTGTTAAGCATATACTATAAATATGTTAGAGTATATTTTTTTAAAAAATACAATATAATAACCAATGTGATTTCTCCCGCTCTGGTCAGAGCTTCTTGCTCGTATACTTGTCGGGAGGTATGTGATGCAAATATCTTTCATTGTATTCATGATTTGATTTCGCAATGATAATTCGCTTTGATGGTTGTTTTAAAAAAAAAAATACAATATAAAATTTATCAATAGATGGCTTGTAAATGGTCTGCAATATTTAGAAAATAAAAAAGGTTTGCAGTTCATGCAATGTTAACTTTAATAAATTCTAAAATACAAATTTAAAAATATACATTATTAGACATTAAACTATTCGCAAAATGTGCGTGTGTAACTAGTACATATATAATCGCAATATCTATCCATCCAAACGACACAACTGGATGTCAGCAAAAAATGGAAAAGGTTATGGATTATCCTTATCGTCCTAAGGCGCATGTCGACGAGCCAACTAAAAAATTGTTTCCTTAAATTCATGTTTGGCCTGTCCGACCAACTTGCATATTATATTTTAACTCATATCATATCTTGTTCTTAGCGCGTCAGTATGGTCGCCGCACATTGGCAGTTGACTCCACCCATACCGCGTTTAGTTTGGTGCATTACGATTTTTGTTCTTCATTTCACACCCCGCCCAGAATTAGGCGGGGTTCGTTGTATTCCACTTTTATAATTTTTTGTAAGAGTTTATCGCACTTTTGGTCTCATGAATAACTATAGTGACACTATCAGAATTAATTCATAGACTTTCAAATCTTGCAATCTCGGTCTGTGATTATTTGTTTTTTTGTTTTTTTGTTTTTGATTTTTTTTTTTTTGTTTTTGTAAAAATGGTCATTCCGACCCATTTTTCGTCAATTTCTCACATGAGTAAGAATCATTTTCGACAAAAACAGGCGGGAAGGACCATTTTTGCAAAAAAAAAAAATAATAATAGTCGTGGATCAATCCTGATAATGCCACTATAATCGTGTGACCAAAAGTACGATAAACTCCTTTTTGTAACTTTTTAGAGCGGTAAACTTTAACAAATTTTAATAAGTTTTAAAATATTTTATTTTTGTTTTCAGATTTTTTTTAGTTGTTATAGAAGTTTATAAACATATTATATCACAAACATGTATAGATTTTTATAGATTTTTTTTTTTAAAGTAAGAATTGATATGATTCATTAATAGCGATTGAGAATTGTTTGGGAGTAAGGGAAAAAAAGGTGGATTTCATTTTATAAATGTTACAAATTAAAAGTTTACAATAGGTTTTTAAAAAAAGAAAGTTTACAATAGTTATAAAATTGACCTCATATTTTTTATATTAAAATCCTCAACCATTGATTAAGCCATATATGTATGTATATATATATATATATATATATATATATATATATATATATATATATATATATATATAATAAATTTATGTATTGCAATTGAAAAAAAATTCAAAAGTGACTCTCATAAAAGCAATGTATGTAGTATAAATTTAAAGATAATTTTATTTTTCATTAAGCGATATAGCATTAGAAGAAAAATGATAATACTCAATACTAAAAAATAATAAATGAGAATATTCAAATGTGTTTTAGTGTCCGTTGAATAAAGACCGAAATCTTTACAAAAATGAAGAGAAATGTATTTCTTTATGAAGAGTTCAAAGATCAAAAGTTTTTTTTTTTTTTTTTTTTTTTTTTTTTTTTTTGAGAACCAAAAAAAAACACATTATCATTTTTGTAAAGATTTCGTGGTTTCATAGAAATAACTTAGTTTCTATAAGATTTGATATTGAGTTAAAATTAAGTATACTTGTTTAGGTTCTGTTTGGCAGAGCTTATTTAGAAGCTTAAAGCTTATTTTAAGCTACTAATAAGCTATAAGTTCTGTTTGGTAATGTTCCCAAAATAAGCTCCTAGCTTAAAATAAGAGCTTATTTTGGAACGTTTCAAAATAAGCTCCTAGCTTCCTAACTTTTTTTCCATCTTTATCCTTATTATTTTAAAGAAATGGCATAATTTACCCTTCCCAATTAAAACTCTTTTCTCTTCTCCTTTATCTGCAACTTTCACCTCAAATATTATTATTATTATTATTATTATTATTATTATTATTATTATTATTATTATTATTATTATTATTATTATATTTGCAACAATATTGCTACTTCATTATGAGATACTAGATCATGATTATGCTAATAGTTTTATTTCAAAATGTTAATTTTTTAAAAACAAAATGTTAAATTTTAATAGGTAAACAAACTAATTTAAATTTTATGAAGATGTCCTTTTTAGTCTTTTTACATTTATCAACTTATCAAAAAGCTAATTTTACCAAACACTTTCAATCATAACAGCTAGCTTAACAGCTCTTCAGTTTGCAGCTCCGAGCTTATAGCTTTTCAGCTTTCAACTCCTAGCTTATAACTTTTTAGCTAGGTTCGCCAAACAGAGCCTAGGTTGGGGAGATAATGTGAACTAATCTTATTTATGTCAGATAGACATTAATTAATTGGTTGTTGCATTTTCAAGGGTTGAACTCAATACATTTGATTAAGTTGGAAAAAATGTGCACCGTACCATCTCATTTACACCCTAGCTATGAGTTGCCAATAAATAAATACTCCGTAATATACACAGGGATTCAAATGAAAAAATGGTTATCCTGTAAAAAGTAAGGACGAACTTATCAGGGTTCATCAATTGTGTTAAGAATTTTAGTAAAAAAAAATACATGTCAATTTTATAATTATTACAAACTTTTAAATTTGTAATATTTATAAAACCAACTCCACTATTTTTTCTTTTATTTTTAACAATACTACTTAAGTGTTAATTTACTCAAATAGATAGATCATATCAATCCTCACTTTTTTAAATAAAAGACTCTTCTCACCTTTAACTCTTTTTTTTTTTTTTTCTCTATATATATAACTAGTAATTCACCCGCGCGATGCACGGGGAAAAAATTATGTTATTATAAATAAAAATAAAAAATAAAAAAATTTTAAATTGTTTAATATAATAATATTTTTGAGCTTCCATTGGTCAAGTATTTATTATTTTTATAGAATACAAAATTACAATTAAAATTTTGTATGGTTAATATAATCTATAATTATGTACATATTCATATAAACTTATAGAGAGAATTTACATAGTTACATTGGTTTATTCTTAATTGTATTTCATCTATATTATAATTTTCACAATACGAATAATAACTAAGATAATTACATTTAGAAAGCAAATTTCAAATTTTGTATGAGTAAATTTAAACTCTAATTGAACACATTTTTTTATATGATTATATAATATATTCTTTATGCACATGTCATTCCATAAACCCAAATGTCATTTTATAAGTCCAAGACCACTTTTTGTGGAGATA